AAAATAAGTGACAGTGAACATTTATACTAGCTATAATACTGTGAAATTTGAAAAGAAGTACTTATTGTTTTTAGGATAGTATATCTGGCCAACATTTTTTTACTCATTTCGTTGTAAAACAATTGGGTCATTAACAGTCCGGGTCATTGGCACAGCTCAGTTATTTTTAGGTATGATCATTCCTCAGACACGCTGGCAGAGTTGCGCAACAAAAGGTCGCAAACTTAAAGTACTATTTTTAGAAAAAAATATCAAGATTTTATATTGCTTTGTCTATATACAGGTTGCATGTTCTTGGTTGAAATGTTGAGCTATATAAAAGGGATTTTCTCAGTTTGTTTTTCTGTTGTTGACAAAGAATAGTTAATTAAAAGTTAGTGTATCAATCTTGTATTTAACAATAAAAAGGTACAAATATATTTACTATTTGCAAGTTTTTGCTGCACTAAAATTGCACTGTTGTTTTATGCAAAATTGAAATGACTTTTTTACGACAAATGACTGCAAAATCAAAACACGCAAACGGTCATATTTCAATTTTGAATCAAAAACAAGTTCATCGCTGATTTGGTTTTAACGTGGAGCTAGAATACTGAAAATTATAAATATATTATAAGCTTTATTCGGACCAATCCTTTTTCAACAACTCATGTTGTATTGATGTAACAAATGTTACGCTATTGAATAAACATGTATGTTTATGTATTTTTGTACTTATTCTTGTAAGCCACATTTGAACGCTGTTAAGGCATTTCAGCACGCGCAGCATTCATGTCGTGCAAGGAATCGTACAGACTGGTTTCCGCAAGTGGGTCGCGCGCCAGTCCACTTTTGCACATTAATCACGATAGCTACATTGTTCATTGGAGTTGAAGAGTGGTTGTAGTTGAGTTGAGTTGTTGTAGTTTAAGTGTTTAATTTTCTTTAAGACTGTTGCTAGTATATAGGTATGATGAATAATCTTATTTTAATTGATTTTATCATCATGCTTTCACTTGGACGCATATAATTCTTAATGCGGAAACGTGTTAAGACAGATTTCTGTTAAAACAGAGTAATTTCGTAACAATATCGCCAAGGACTATTTTATGACCACCTAATAAACCGTGTATTGAAATTTTGCTGCTTCTTTCACTTCGGAACACCTCGCCGTATATTTCTAATATGAGAGATTGACAAAAATAGCCGATATATGTTGCTTTTGTTTTCAGATTCCATTCGACTTATAAGAAGTTCTTTTTAAAGAAGCAAACTTGTACATGAATGTCTTAACACGAGGTCACGAAAACGTTATTCTACTCTCACTTTCCGTCTACCGAAAAAAAAAATGTGAAAAGACACACGTGAGTAACTTTCCTCTTAATTACAAATTAATTTAAACCTTTTCCTACATTCGTAACAAAAAATTTAAATTGACATTTTTAATTGGTTTTCTGTACGAAATCTGCTGTGGTCATAGTATTATTTTTACAATAGGTTTAGTGCAAATCATGGTCATGCAACTACAAAGTTAGATAAAGAAGCAAACAGTGTTTCGGTTGAGTCTATTATGTTTTGTTTAGGGGGTTAGTTGCCGTACACAAATTTACAATTTGTATGCATTTATTACTTTGCAATGATATTTATAATCTTAAATCCTCCTTTGATTGTTTAATAAAATTATTTGTATTTGAAATTGTTATATGTCCGATTAAAGGCATAATTTTAATGAAAATGAAATCAGTTCACACCTTGATGTGCACTGATCACGTGTTGGTTTCAGCCAATCAATATCATCAACATAGTTGGGCAGAAAAAAAGTTTGAAAATAGTAAAACGATATTCCATATGTAGCAAACAAACTTTGAATTGCAAGTGTTAATTTGATACTATATTTTCGGCAGAAGAAACTGTCCGAGTAAGGGCCAGGCATTTTCGTATCGTAAGATGGCTGCCGTTACACTATCACGTGATTATCCCAAGCACCACCACGACTTAGCGCGGAAATTATAAATAGCGCGTAGTATAGGATAGGAAATACCTTTTAATTTTTATTTGTAATTAATATTTACAAAACACTATCCTGGGGGTTTTATTGGATCAATTGATAACAAATTATAATGTTTTTTTTTGTAAATAAATAATCATGTCTCAAATCTGTGCACAATTTTAATATATTCTGTTCAGTGGAAGATGTGTAATTTTGTGTTTTAGAGCTGTAAATTTGTCGTGCGTGCATGGTTGTTTTTTATATCTTATTTCCTTGAAATCATTTTTCTCATCTGAAGGCAGGCAATTTTAATAGATCTATTAGTATTCCATTTATTACATTCCATGTTATTGTTTAAAAATGTAAAGTATCTGATGATATGTTTGTTCATTTTACATTACACCTTTCATGCAACAAGCATAAAAAACTTCACAGAAGTACAGAAGTTAGTATGCAATCGTCCTTATATTACATACGAATGTATGTAATATTTTTCTTGTTACTTATACACGTGCAGTATCTTTTTCGCCAAGACGTGGATTTAAATCTGAACTGCATGTATATCCTTTATCAATAAATGCAAAATTAATGTAGGTATGACTTTTGACGTCATTTTTAATAAATTAATATTCAAAAGCGGCACACGAAAGCGCATGTGTAAATTTATGCAAATGACTATTTTTACAAACGCGGTTCGATGAAGCACTATGAAAACTAGAAGTCGACTATGAACGGTATTCGAAATAGTATCGACTTTTGTTCTTCTATGAAAATTAACGAAACAATTTTTAAGAAATACAGCGTTTTCATTGGTTGACATTAAGGATAATATAGCCTTTCTTGGAACAATTGCGATTGAAAATATGTCTGACAACCATTTTTAATTTAGATATGCCCATTGATGTACAATTTTTAACAAATCCGACTTAATGTAAACAGGATGGCATTTGTACTTTCGGTTCTACAACCGTTATAATAAGTATAGAAATAATGTATTGTTTACATTCATTTGAATTTGTTAATTTTAGGCACATTTTTACTTGATATATTGGTAAAAAAACATTGGTCAACAGCTCAGAACATTAATTACTATTTGTTTCTTAGCGTAGGTTACGAAATACCGGATCCGTTCTCTTTATTCATACTATTGTGTTCACGGCCTTTATCCGAACACTGCCGGAAAGGGCCGAAACATAGATGATCTCGAATATGTAAGAAAGATAACCCGTACAAAGTAACTTAAGACGACAGGCAGAGTTTCTTCGAATATAATTACGCATGTATGTATTTGATATGTGTTTTTGGCCTATAAAATCGAAATAAAAACGAGGCAAGATGGGGTACAGTGTTGATTTGATATTTTATACCCGGGAATGTTCATTGGTTAGATTTTATAAGTTGTGATATAGTTTATATATTTATCAAAATGAATCAGACAATTCTAAATCCGGTCTCCGCACTACCGGGTCAATTCAGTGCTTTTGTATTTTGCAAAAAATAGTCTCGATTAAGGATAATTTCTATAATAATGTTACTAAACTTTTTTTCTGCAAATAAAGTGCCTAAAAAACCCTACACAGGAAGCACTCCCCTCAACTGTGTCAGACACTGTCTTTTAACAGATTTTGAAATATTTGGAATTGTGTTTCTGGTCACACTGAAATACAAAATTTTTCATTTTTAGGTCCCCTGCCCCCTTATATTGCTTCGAATATTATACAGGTATGTATTTGATATGTTTTGGGTTTTTTGGCCTATAAAAACGAAATGAAAACGAGGCTAGATGGGGTACAGTGTTGATTTTATATTTTATACCCGGGAATGTTCATTGGTTACATTTTATAGGGTGTGATATAGTTTATATATTTATCAAAATGCATCAGACAATTCTAAATCCGGTCTCCGCACTACCGGGTCAATTCAGTGCTTTTGTATTTTGCAAAAACAGTCTCGATTAATACTGTACGGATATTCTGCAAATAAAGTGCATGAAGAAAGGAATACACTCTACACAGAAAGCACTTCCCTCGACTGTAACAGACACTGTGCGAAGTCTCATTTATCGTTTCCGCAAGTTTCTTAAAATCAATATACATAACTGTGTGAAACAATTTTTATGGTGTAATCTCCCCTGCATTAATTAAATTGATCAACTTTTTCCTCATGGTGCACATGTAACTTCAATGCAACTGTATTTAACTGTTCAACTTTAAAATTTAGCAATTTTTACATGTACGTTGTATTTGAATATCTGTTTTTAGAATAAAGCAGAACAAACCCTTTGTGTAAGTTTAACAACCATTGTATTCAATAAATCAATACTAAACTTTATAGTCTTTCTCTTTTGTTTCACAATATGTATAAATGTGCTTTAGAAGATTTAATTTACAATATTTTATTTGTATAAGTTTAGCAATTATTCTATTCAATATTTCAATAGTAAATCTTTTAATATAAATGTGCTGATAAAGCAAATACCCACAACACTTTATCTATACGCCTTACAATATTTCATGCTCCAGTGAAGACGAAATACCCCACAAGAGGAAGTTAATTTGCTAATCTTCATTTTTCGAAAATTGCGACTTTACTTTTTATTTCACTAACAATTTGAAGAAGAATATAAAAAGTGTTTCATGTTATATTTTTAACGGATAACTTTAATATATATTATGCTCATAAAGCAGGCCAATATAAGCAGGAAAATAAAAATATATTTAGAGATTATAAAAGATTATATTTAGGTTTATAAAATCGAAAACAAGAAACAATTATAAACATGAATTATTTTCTCATGTGTAAAGTTCGTCAGTATGGCGGTTTCTGGAAGAAAAGCAGTGACGCCAATCAAAGGTTTGGTTTGATAGTGATGAAAATCATGTTTGTGATCCGTGTAAAACTGATGGTCAAAATGTTAAAGCACGAGGATATTGTGAAGATTGCCAGGAATATTTATGCAGCTCGTGTTTTTTCTTTCTCATAGAAAAACAAAGGCCTCAAAACATCATAAATTACACGAACGATCCGACGCTACAAATACATCTTTATTAGATGATAAATGCCCATTTCATAACACCGAAATTGTCAAGTTTTTCTGTTCTAGACACAAAGAACTAGGATGTCATGATTGTATGGTTCTTAAGCATAGAACATGTGATCTTGATTATATCCCCGACACGTGTAAAGGTATAGCTGACAGTAAAGAGTACGATGACACGTTAAAAATGCTGGAGTTAAAGTTACAAGCAGCAGAGAATTTGGAAAGAGAAATTTCTGACAAAACTACGGAAGCAGATGGTTGTTTAACTCAAGCGCTTAAAGATATTGACGACTTTGAGTACCGAATCATCAATCGTATAAAAGATATGAAAACTAAAGTTGTTGAAAATGCAAAACAAATAAAAGAATCAAACAAAAGAGCATTAAAGACAGCGCATGAAGAATGCAGTAAAGTTTCGTCAGAAATGAAACAACTTCAAGCTGGTCTAAAAGACAACAAGACTTCCGGGAAGGAAAGGGAACTATTCATAGCTGTAAAGAAAGCTAAATCTCTAGCCAATGATGAAAAGAGCACTAAAGTTTTAACAGAAATAAGAAAACTTAAAACAACATACACCTTCAAACGGAACGAAGATATAGAAAATGTATTATTTAAGAAAACTTTATTGGGAACATTAGAGACAAAGACTCGTTCTTTAAGCTCCTTGCAGCATTTAAGGGACATTAAAATAAGAACTTTATCAGATGAAGAGAAATGCTCTATTGTAGGATGCTCATTTATTCAACCAAATAAAGTTTTACTAGCAGATGAATTTAACAACAAACTTAAACTGTTTGATATCAACAATGACCGTTTGATAAAAGAAAGACAGGAACCGGGAGGCCCACGTGGCGTTTGTCTTATGTCTCAAGATGAAGTAGCTGTTGCGATGATAACAATGAAAGCAGTTCAAATTTTCAAGACTGATAATGACCTATCTCTAGTTCGTACTGTTCAATTTGATAGACAATGTTATAATGTCACATATAACCAAGGAAAGCTGTATGTTGTTTGTTGGCATCCACACAGTGTGTTAGTATTAGATCTTAATGGTACAGTACAGACAGAAATTCAACTGAATACGGCTAACATTCAGATGACTGTTCCATCTGGTATTGCTGTAAGTTCAGACTCTAAATATGTGTATGTAAGTGACTTTAGTAATGGTAACATTGTACGCCTCACAAATAATGGAAATGTATCAAGTATTTACAAAGACGAGAAAATCAAATCACCTTCTGGGATACTTCGTCTAGAGGATGGATCACTTCTTGTCTGCTGCTGTGTTAACAATACAGTATACAGAATTTCTGAAGATTTCAAGACAGGATTTAGTGTTCTAGATAATATAGAATATCCGGAAAGTATATGTAAATATGATAAAGGTGATAAAATGTACATCGGTTGTAAAAATGACACACTGAAAGTGTGTGAAGTGGTTCATCAGAAATAAGAAAGAAATGATGATTATGATGATTATGATAACGTGATGATTACGTTGATTCTGACGATAACATTGTAGTTGGTGATCTAACGCTAGTTATACTATTTTAACATTTTTGTCTGATTTTTTTGTCAGAAATAGATGAAAAAATGTTAAATAATTATGAGGCTATGATAGTTAAAGCAATATTAGTGAGAAGGGCTATTTTATATTAAGGTAATTAAAAATAGCATGACTTAACTTTGCTCTTCAAATTTGGTAAATATTAAACCAAATACCGGTATCTTAAGAAATGTAACCTGCAAACAGAGATAAAAGGGAAAAAAATCCAACATTATAGTTATTTGATCCGATCAAGACTTATGTGTATATGTACAATGCTGAAGAAGATATTTTTCTGACAATATATATACATGTACATGTATATAAAAACATATCATTTATTCCAGTCATTCATTTACTCCCCTACGCACTCGTGCACGCACATAAACGAACTCACATGCACGCACAATTGTATGATTTAATATGATTTATTAACAGAGCGTGCTCTTCTGTTAAAGGCCCATTATTCCCAAGTAATGCTTTTATTTTTATTTCTCAAAAGTTTTTATTTTTATAATTTGTATTATGATACAGTTTCAAAAAAGTTACTCACTGGCTTATTACTGTAGCTGAAATATATTTTGCTTCTCTTACTTTCCATATATTAGTACAGACAAAAAGATTAAGTATTTTGTATGGGAGTCAAAATACTACTTTGTTTACATTTTGCTTCTTTCATGAAAATATTTTCACATTTAGCACTCCTTTCTTTAGGTAATAAGAAACTTATATGCTCTAAAAACCATTGTTTAAACATTTAAACCTCATGTTTGCCCTTTCTAAGGAAGATTAAATATATTTGTTTAATATTGCATAATGTGCCTTTAAATGACTTGATTAATTGTTTTTTTTTTCTTTGTCAAGATTTATAATGAATATGTTAGTTAAGAATTGCTTGTCAATGGGAGATAACCTATCATAAATCATATTGAAATGCAATGTATAATAGATATTCACGAAATATATCGATATTTTACTTGGTATATCCTTACAAAATGCCCTTTGTAAGCAACAACTGTATCTATTTTAGATTAGCTTTGCTCTTCAAATTTGATGAATGTTGTAATATTGAAGTATCTTAGTCGAGAAAATGGAAAAAAATTCTACACTTAAGATTTTTTGATCTTACAGATCCAATAACAAAGACTAAAGCTTCTGCATACAAAGCTAAAATACATATTTTTTTTTGGTTAAAGCTTAAAAAAATAACATCTTATTAATTCACACTCCGACACACATTTACACACGTGCACACGCGCGCACAGGCACATTTGTAAATAACCGTAATAATGACCGTCAAAAATAGACCGTTAAAAATTATTGTAACACAAAATTTTATGTTGATTTTCCAATAATTTGGTTTCCACACTTGATGACCCGAAAATTTCTATGTATTCCTTTTACTCTGTTTAAGTAAATGATTATTTGTAAATGGGAGTTAACTTACTTTAAACCAAACTGAAGTATTATAGTTATATACTCCCCATTTTGAATGACAGATATCAGTTTTTTAATAACAATAGTTTTTGTTGAAAATCTTTGAATGTATTGACAATTAATTTTTATTGTTTATGTAGACTTTAGCTAAAACCGGTCTAAAATATGTCAAGACATTTAATTTCAAATCAATAATAAATGAAAACAACCTACAACTGCCTTGAACAATGTTTAGACTGGTGTCACAGTCATTCATTATGGATTCTTACAATACATGTATATATAAGTTTATAGAGCTAGAGATAAATTTGTGGTTGTTTTGTTTCTTTCTTAAAGATATACTATGCTCATCTTTGTGTAAAATAATTTTATCGCATAAATTTATTGAAATCTATGAAATTCTTACTGAATATGTCTATTTGAACAAAGGAATGTACAAACTATGTATGGGAACCTGCATCCCCTATTAAAGGTCAGATATAGTTGGTCCTTTAAAAAAAAAAACGGACACTTTATATTTATGTTGTGGCCTCCTTTAAAACATAACATTTCTACCTTTGTGTGAAGTAAAAACATGTTAATGTTATATTTACAAAGAGACAGTTTAGCAATTTTCAATATTTTTCAAGTATCAAATTTGAGCATAATTATTATATCTTTAAACTTCAAAGATTTTATTTTGTTCATTTTTTATTGTTCGTTCTTTGTTTTCATTATAATGATATAAAACGTAAGTATTAGTACTCTGGATTACAAAAATAAAAAATAAAAATGTATTTATAGCAAGTTTTCTATAATTTGTGTTATTTTATTTCCAATTCAATGCATTTACATATTCTATCTAAATGAAACTGCAATAGTTCTGCACTTTCCTAAGTAGAATTAGAAATCACTATACGAGTTTTTATATATAATGTCAGAAGGACTCGTAGTTCTTATAGGAAATGACCTCAAACCAAAGTCATGGTCTTTTGACAATCATTTTTTAATTTAACAACATATCTTGACTTGTTATCTTGAATTCCAACAGCTGGAGCTATATCCTAAAATTTTTGTGTAATAGTTCTGTAATATATCATGGTTTAAATATCTGATCTTGGAGCCTTATTTGATTGTAAACAACACCACGTCTCCTGGTTTTATGAATCAATCGATGATTTATCTCAATCTTTAAAAAAGTTTTTGTTTAACACCATGACCCCTTGATAATGCTTGGATTTCATATCTCTTGTTGACTGACGTTATTGCGTAAAAATCTGTCTTTGATAATTGCTACTAATATTAAGTACTAGGTCTATTAACAGCTGCAAAAGTTATTGAGCACAACGTAAACACAACTTATTGAGCACACAACTTACTGAACAACGTAAGCACTATTTATTGAACAACGTAAGCATATGTTGTTCGATAAGTTGTGCTTATGTTGTTCAATCAGCTGTGCTTACGTTATTCAATAAGTTATGCTTATGTTGCTCACTTATTGAATAACGTAAGCACAACTGATTGAATATCGTAAGCACAGCTGAGCGAATAACGTAAGCATAACTTATTGAACAACGTAAGCACAACTTTTAATAAAACCTAAGCAATACTTATTGAACAGCGTAAGCACAACTTACTGAACAACGTTATATACGTTACTATACGTTATTGTACAAAGCGAACATAGTCCTGCATTTGGCTTCTTATATTTAAAAAAAAATACCAGACAAATTATTTAAAACAATATCTTTATTTGGGTTTATACAACAATATAAATAGTTTAATACGCTTAAGATGACAGTTACGTCAGAAATGACGACAATATACGTGTGATGATTTGATTAACAAATATTGCCGAAAGAGTTAGAACTTGTCCGCTAATGTGTTACACCAAAGCCAATGAGGAAACCTTCTTCATCGTGAGAACAACTTCTTTACTTGGACCTGGAGCTAAAATAAATACGAAATTTCGTTTAAGCTGGCTGCCAAACAATGTTCAATGCTTTTTTACACGAAGGAAGTTAAACTATAGAACATTTGTTGTGTCTACAAGATAATGACCTTTAGATTTTTAAAAGTTACCATATAAGAAGTCAATGTATCAATTGATAATTCTGTTCTGTTCAAAACTAATTGGTTGGCATTGAGGTAATGTTGGGGCGATTTATAATTATGATGAAAAAGAAGAAAGACTACAAGGAGCGTTTTAGTTCCTCAACCTACTCTACGCACGCTATTGATCAACGTTTTGTAAGTAATAGGCACTCAAACTAAAAGCGTTCTAGAAAACAAACTAGAGAAATGGAGCACTGGAGTGCACGGATTTTAATGACCCAATGAAATTCCTAAGTATAGCTATGTACACCATTTTAACAATTCTGGAAAATGCATGTTGGGTAATTTCTATTATATATCGGATGTCCATAAAAAAGTTTGAA